CCACCCCGACCCCGATAAATTAACTCCTATGTCCACTTAGGTGTTGATCCGTAATACCAATTTGCGTGAGATATGTGGTGCTGGTTTCCATTCTGAGATACTCATTAGTAGAATGGGTTCAGCTTTATCCAGTATACAAGAGGTGCTATATCACGTCGATTCTTAAAGCTTGTAGTACTCCATGGTGTACATATACACATTTATTAATCCACTCATGAATTTGATGGCACTTGGTGTTGCAAGCTTTGCAGTGTGTAACTGGCTGCTGTAAACATTTGAGTGCAGTGTCTTTCTAAGGTGACTTTTGATCTTTTGGATAGATGCCCAGTAATGGAATTGCTGGATCAAATGGTAGATCTACTATATCGCTTTGAGATCTCCATATTGCTTCCACAGAGTTGAACTATGTGTGCAGTCCACCAGCAGTGTAGGAGTGTTCCTTCTTCTTTCAATACCATAAACTCATTATCTTTGTGATTTCTGTTTGGGGATCTGTGTCTGTGCTTGTAGTGGGATGTTAAAGTCTCCAACTACTATGTGTGTGTTTATTATTGTTTAGATCAAGTGGAGTTTTTGATATGATCTGGTGCACCAAGGTTGGTGCATATAATTAGAATGGTAGTCCTTGGTTCAACTGTACCTTCACCATTATATATGACCTTTATCTTTTATTACTTCTGTGATTTAAAGACTAAGTTTCTGTAACAGCGACACACCAGCTTCTTTTGGTCCGTTGGTGAAATATCATTCTCCACGTGTCCTTTAGTCTAATTGCATCCTTGCAGGTAATGTGTTCCTGAGGCAGAGATACTGGCTGCTGTTTTTATCCATTCGCCAGCTCTAGTCTTATGGGAGTAAAGCACACATTTATGAGATAAACTGAATAGGTGGGCAGATTCTGTTCCTTTGTTGGGTTGAACTTTGCTGTTTTTCTCTTTGAGTATGTAGTTCTGGGCTTTATTTACTTGAGTAAGTTACATCGGACTGTTATTGCTGATCTGGGGTAGACACTTACTCTTTGTGACGTCTTCCTGTTTGCATTGAATCTCCCAGGGGTCCTCTGAGCTTCTTGAACTTGTATCTGGAGATTTTTAGCAAGGCCTGGGAAATTTTCCTCTATTATATCTTCAAATAGCTTGTCCAACCCTTGAGTGTTGTCTTCTTCCCCTTCTGGCAACCCTATGACCCTCACATTAGGTTTCTTCACATAATTCCACATCTCTTGTATGTAGGCTTTGCTCTTTTCTCTTGTTTCTCTGCTCTATCTCTGTGACTGATTTATTTAATTGGAAGGTGTTATCTTCAATCTCTGAGATTCTTCTGTTTGATCTACCCTGTTCTTGAGGCTTTCCACTGAATTTTGTAGTTCCCCGAATTGATTCTTCATTTCCAGGAGTTTGGTTAAACTTTTCTTCATTGTATCGATTTCTTTAGTGAACTTTTATTCCACGTCCTGGAGGCTTTTTGTGATTTCTTTGTGTTGATTATTGAGTTGTTGTTGCAGGTAGTTGAATTTTCTTATGATCCACATTCAGAATTCCTCTTCTGTCATTTTGGTTGCCTGATTTTGGTTGGTGTCCCTTTCTAAGGGGCTGGTGCTCCTCTCTGGGGGTGTGGTTTCCATTTGGTTCTTCATATTTCCAGAGTTCCTTCGCTGATTTCTTCCCATGTCAATCAGTTGTTGCTTCTTTCCTTTGTTCTTGTTTGGATATTCATATGCCTTGTTTAGTTTCTGAGCCGGTAGGTGGTATCTGTGGGTGAGATTTGACCACTCCCCTTGCTGCTGGTCTCCAGGCTGCTCTGGAGGTCTCTGCTTCCAGTTCTCCTCTGCAACCTCCTCCCGTGGTCTCAGGTACCCCTCCTTCCGACCCTCATCTGATGTGTGCTTGTCTTCTTGTTTCTTTTTTCTTATTTCTGCTAGAATCTGTCTTTTCTTTAGAGACACTCTGTCTGGTGATGTTTCTCGTCTACCATCTTGATTCGGATCCCCAGGCCTTGTTTTTCTGTGAGAATCCATTTTAGAGTGGATTGATGCATCCCTTAAGCACAGTTTTATATTTGTTTCTGTGAAATGCTCCTATTGGTTTTCCTACGCTTGAGCTAATTTTTATATTAATTTCTCAACAACATTCAGGTAGTGTAAATTCAAACCCCGTTACCCACTTGGGACCGTAGCTATGAATTCTCAGGGATGACTTCTTTTCTACTCTTGTGTACCCCTACAACCCAAGCTGAGACAGGGTGCTTCATTGTCTTATCCCTTCTCTTGTGTAGCCCTCTGAGGGTCCAGCTTTATGCACTAATTTTGCTTGCAACTTTCCAAGTTAAAATTTAAATTCCTGGATTACTAACAGTCTGCTTCTGCCCCAGGATAGCCACAGGTTAGCTTACATGATCTTAAGTGCTTCGTTTCTGGATCCTTGAAAATTTCTTTACCTTGTACATTCAGCTATGCATTAAAATATTTACAAATTATAGTTGTATGCAGTATCAGGTGTTTTCAGTTTAGTCCAACATATTGCCTGAACTTAAAATGTGTATTATCTTTGTAATAAAAGGAGTTTGCTCACGCCTGTAATCCTCACACTCTGAGAGACTGAGGCAGGAGAACAGAGAGGAGGCAAGAGAAAAATGAGAAACAGAGAGGAGAAATGAGTCAATTCTAAAGAAATATGTCAAAACTTAAATAATGCCTGGCTTGTATGGTGAGATAACGGATGAGATCAATTTAGTATGTTTACTTCCAGACAACTCTATGCTTCAAACATCTTTAATCCTAGCTAAAAAGATACAAACTACTTCTTCTCATTTCTCCTCCTGCCTCCTGACCGAGGAAGGAGGATCGCTCAAGATCAGGAGTTTGAGAACAGCCTGAGCAAGAACAAGACCCCATCTCTACTATAAATAGAAAGAAATTAATTGGCCAACTAAAAATATATAGAAAAAATTAGCCCGGCATGGTGGTGCATGCCTGTCTGTAGTCCCAGCTACTTGGGAGGCTGAAGCAGAAGTATCACTTGAGCCCAGGAGTTTGAGGCTGCTGTGAGCTAGGCTGACGCCACGGCACTTTAGCCCAGGCAACAGAGTGAGACTGTCTCAAAAAAAAAAAAAGAAGAAGAAGAAGTAGTTTGCATCTTTTTAGCTAGGATTAAAGATGTTTAAAGCATAGAGTTGTCTGGAAGTAAACATACTAAAATGATCATTCGTTATCTCACCATACAAGCCAGGCATTATTTAAGTTTTGACATATTTCTTTAGAATTGACTCATTTTATCTGTTCGTTCCTGGGCCAAAGGGCTTAAACCTTCGTATTATTTCTTCAGAACAGTGAATGTGGTGACTTGGAAATATCTAAAATGTCATTTGTCCATGGAATGTCTGCTTTGTTTTCTTTCAGCCAGCAAATACTGCAAAATGTTAGTAGAAGAAGAAGGATTACAGCTTCTGTGTGATATCCAGGAGCACAGTGAGGCAAACCCCCAAGCACAGCAGATTGCAGCCTCCATTCTAGACGACTTCAGAATGCATTTCATGAATTATCAGAGACTCCCTCTGTGTCGAATGCAGTTCTCAACCTAAGGGGCTTAATGGGTGCTCTCTGTTCTTCAATGTCAGTTCCTCTGCCCTGTCAGTAATTGAATGTTGAAACCACTCGGAGTTTGTGAATTGGCTGTCTCATTGGCCATTTACTGTTGATTTTCTATCTGGGAGTTTGTGAGTTTGCTCTTTCATTGGCCATTTATTGTTGATTTTCTATAAGTTACAAAAAGGTTGGATTTGTAGATAGCCATAATCCCAAATCAAGTTGGAATCATTCTGGGGACACCCCTTCAGCAGCAATTTTGAAGAATTAAACCATGGATTCTTGGGAAAAGCTTGTGTGGGAATAGCTATGCCAGTTACTTAGCCCTGGACAACTTTTTTGCTTTGGGAGCATGTCAGGGAAATGGGACCAATTACCCAGTAGAAGAAAGGAAAGACCTATAGGGAGACCTTGGCATTTATGTTCAGTTTCCTGAGTAGTTATTTGTGCTTATGCAAAGCTACCAGAAAAGAAGTATATACAAAGAAAGTGGGAAATACATGCTTATAAATATGTTGTTTGTAAGGCAGAACTTCTGGTGAAGGGATAAAAACTAATTTTCTCTTTCCTCCTTTTCTTTTCTTCCTTTCCCTTCTCTTCTTTCTTTCCCTTCCCCCCTCCTTTCTTTTCTTCCCTTTCCTCCCTCTCTTCCTTCCCACCCCTCAGATACCAGAGTACTTTCCACTTGAAGGAAGGAAAGAAAAATATATTTTTGGGAAGAAGGGCTGGGTACATTCATACATAACAGGTACACTGCACACTATCCAGGAGATGGGCACACTTACAACCTTGACTCATGGTACAAAAGCAATTTAGGTAACCAAAACATTGTACCCGTGAAATACACTGAAATTTAAAAATATATAACAGCCCTGCAATATAAAAACAAAAAAGAGAAATATATATTTTTACAACTTTAAGTATTCTTTGGCCCTTTTCCCTGCAACTTTACAAACCGTATCAGATGCTTTTGTTTGTGGCCTCTGCAGAGCTGCTCTGAGGAATAGAGTATGAACTCCTTCCTTGCCTTATGGACTACTGATAAACATGTTTTATTTATTTTAAATTTGTTTTTGATTATTAACATAGCTTAGAACTAGATTTTTGAGCTTTTAGCTGGCTTGGTCCAGACTCTTAACTGGAGTACCATGTACCATCTTTTGGAATCAAGGAGGAAAATAAAAAATCACATTCCAAACTATTACCAGTGTCCCACTAAATAAGCAAGATTTGTAACCTATTTCCTTCAATAGTCCTTAAACTGCAGTTTCCTCACACTCTGCTGCATGATTCTAGCAAGGGTGTCTTGAGTTTCCTGTCCTGGGTTCCAGTACCTTGGAACATTGTGTCATCAGATCCTAGCTTTTGCTAATGGGAGGATGTGTTGTGGGGTGGGAACTACTGTGTTGAAGTCCAGGTCTGTCCTAGGCATCCTTTTCCTCTCATTCACAGTAATCGTCAGGGGTAGGTAAGTTTCATTTTCCTTACTTAACAGATGAGAAAAAGGAAGTTCAGTAAGGTTGTTGCTTTGCTGAGTAGTCCTAGCTGGTACAGTCTGTGCTGATTGTAAGGCTTGGGTTGGTTCTGTATTACTCTGCCATCCATGGTACAAACATAACCTTGGGGCATATTTGTATTTAGCAGCAAGTCAACAATGGTATTCCTATGTGTCCATGCTCATGATTTAGGGACTCTAGGCCAGGCCTAGGCTCAGGATGCTTAGCCAGAATTCAGATCCAGTTGGAGAATGACCACAAGGCCACAGCTTACACCTGTTAGCCTTGATACAAGAGGAGAGATGGCTACTACGACCAATAGGGATATGTATCAGCCCCTGCTTTGTTTTCTAGGGGCTGTCATCCTCTATTCACCTTTGCTCATGATGTTTGTGTTAAGTGGCTTGTTTGCTTCGCATACCTATTAATCCTCAGGCTTCAATTCCATGTTACTTGCCCATTTCTCGATCCTCCCTTCTCTCCATCCAAGTTAATTGCACCCTTCTCAGTACTCCTGAAGGCCATGAAAAATTTCCTGTCACCCTATAGTTCACACAATTTTCACAGTGATGATTTCATTTAGACCTCACAAGAATATTGTATGTTAACAATTAGAACACATTTATTGAACGTGAGTTTTTATTTTTTAAAAATCTTCACAGCATTTTCATTTTGCAGGTGAAGAAGCTGGGGTTAAACAATTTGTCCAAGGTTACACAGCAAGTGACTGGCAGAGAGCCAGGGTCTGCTGTCTGACTGCTGACACATGCTCATCCAATAACCAGGGTTTGTTTATTAACTCTGTTGTCCAGAGGAAGAAACTATGGGTTTCTCAAAATCTTTTGACATCTCTAGTGAGTGCCTGATGATTGAGAGACAGAGGGCCTGAGAGCCAATGATACAAAAACCCAGAGGGATCTATTTTAATCCTTAGTTTATCATTCAAGTAGGGAGAGAGACAGGCATTCTTCAAAGCAAATATCCAACCTAGTGATTAGCCATGGTGAGGATGAAGAAGGTAGCAGTAAGTGGTATAGTCATCACCCAGGTACCAGGCACTACGTCAGTCATTTCATATCCATTTTTGTCCATATGAAGAAACAGAAGCCCAGAGAGGTGAAATGGTCAAGGGCAATCCAGCTGCAGATTTTCTTTCTGGATCCTGCTCTTTAAAGCATCCATCTCCTATGCTTAAGGTTAAATGGGAGTTACTCGCCAACAAATCTTGGGGGTCGCTTCTCCCTGAAGGCCGCCATGCCCTCTAGCCGGTCCCGGGTTGGGATGTTCTACAACAATGTACAGAATATTAATTTGAGGGGAACAGGGCTATAGGCCATAAAAAAGTTGCTTCTCCAGCACCTGGGCAAAGCTAATAAAAATTTTTTATAAAGTAAAAAAATAAAAATAAAAAAGTTGCTTAAGCTTGTCCATGACAAGGCCAAGATCCAAGTGTTTTCATTGTTTCTGGACTTTGGTCTTGAGCCATGCAAAGGCATAAGCAGTGGCTCCTTGGTCTCCTGGGAAGAGTGGGCCAGCTTCTGTAGGATCTGTGTCCCGTGAGATTTGTTAACTTGGAGACCAGCATTTTTTTTACCTACGAGTGAGGGGGACTATATAGGTTAGTCCCAGGTTTAGAGCCCTTCTATTGAACACACACAGCCTGCAGGCTGTAACTAAGCCTTGACATCCCAGCTGAGCCTGGCCTTTACAGTGCCAGAAGCTATTCTAGTACCTCTGCGTTCTCCTATGATTCTCTGGGCACTAAGTGGGCCAGGACGTACCACTGTTAGACAGTTGAGGAAATATTCCCAGAGATAAAGCAGGGTGGTTCCCTTGGAACCATTCTAGGTTAATTAGAAGGTGGCATGCAGTCAGACTGTTAGGGTTGGGAGGACCCTTCTAAATTTGTCTTGTACTATACAATGCTCCCTACCTCTGGCTCTGCCTCTGTTAACAAGCATGCATGGACTGGCAACAGCCACATACCTGGGCATAGCATATCCCTTCAATGGCCATCCCCGATGCAATGTCCACCTGCAAGAAAGACGTGCTTCCTGAATCAGCCTGACCATGTTGACAAACAGTGCTGGGAGAAATGGGGGCTGTGAGGACAGTGCGGGGGATTGACACAGCCTGCAGATTGAGACATCCTGCCAGAGTGCGGTGGCAGAGCAGGAGTCCACAGCCAGCGTTCCTCCTTCCCATCTGGCTGCTCGCCATGCTTCTGACCCCTGGCAGTTAACTTGGCAGCTTCTGCTGCCCTCAGGAAGAAGGGCCTACGTCTTTATGACCTGGCCCCTGGCAATTTCTCCAGCCTCTAGGCCCAAGTGCTTGCTGTGACTAGCACTTATAAGCACCATGTACATATGTGTGTAAGCTCATTACTTTTAACAGCAAGGGTATTATTGCTGTCATATGGCTGAGAAATGTGAGGCACAGAAAGGTGAAGTATTAACATTTTGGGCTGGATGGAAAAAAAAACAAACCACACACATACACATTTAAAAAAAAAAAAATACCAGAAAGGCAAAGTAATTTGTCAGAGTTCACAACAGCGTGTGGAAAAGCAGATCTTGGAACTCAGAGTCCATGTTCCCAACTGGCATGTGGTGTCTTCCCCTCAGTCAAGCTTCTCGCTTATACAGCTCTGTTCTTTTGCTCAAACTGTCCCTTTTCTCTGGAATTCCTAGCCTTCCCACAGCCAACTCTAGAAAACATTCTTTATCCCAGCACTGCCCAATATGGTAGCCACTAACCAAATATGGCTACTGAGCATTTGAACTGTGATTAGTGTGAAGGAAGAACTGAATGTTTTACTTGCTTTTAATTAAGTTTAAAAACCACATGGTGCTATCAATAGAACAGCACAACTTTAACCTCTCTGAGGTGTCTTAGTACAATTAACCTTTTATTAGTAATTTATGTCTTTTTGCCTCCTCCCTACCTTAGGGACAGTGACCATATTCATCTCTATGTCCCAGTTCCCTGCTCAGGTCTAGATGCAGTGTGTGATGAGTGAATTGATGGGTAAGTTGATGTCCAGGGATAGATTAGTGACACACACTTGAGGCCACATTACTGATGACCAGCACAGACCCCACAACACGCACTGGGTGCCACACAGACCTGGATTCTTTCTACTTGCTTTCTCTGTGACCTTGGGCAAGTCACTTACACTTTCTGAACCTCAATTTCCTTCTCTGTCCAAGGGGAAGAAAATGAAATATATATAAACAATAAAATTATCTGGTCAGATTTCCCATTTTGGAGATGGGTAAATTGAGGTATATAGAGGTCAGAATCTGTTTCTAGTTCTTGAGTTCTTTCCAGCTGTGCTGTCAAGTTGAGCCATAGAAACACTGTCCTGGCCATTAGTAACTTTAGTGGCCCCATGTCCCAACCCCAAGCCCTCTCACCTCTGTTCCTCGGTCAATAGCTACTTTGCCCAGCTGCACAGCAATGGGGGCCTAGGGAAAAGGAAAATCTTGGTTGAGGAGGGGATCAATGGTCATAGAGATTTGAACTAAAGAGATGTACTTGGCTCTGTTGAGGGAAGAGTTTTAGACGAGAAGGCAGTGGGCTGGGTCTAGTTCCAGCTATTGTATCTGACCTGTTTCCGGTAGTGTTAGTCGTCTTACCTACTAGTTGAGGTTACTTTTCTATAATGAAAGAAGCCAGACTGATCTTTGACCCTCCCAATCCTAACCATCTGGGGTTCTTGTCATTCAGCCTGCCCTTCCAACATGTACAACATACTACAGTTTACAAAGTGCTTTCATCCCCACAAACTCATCTAATGGTGTGACCTGCCCTTCCAGGCTGGTGTTTTCACTAATCACCCATTTTACAGATGTGAAATTGAGGCACAAAGAGGTGAAGCACTTGGCTGTGTTTATCCAGTGAGTTGTTGGTGAGACTTCAATTTGGCTCCCAGCCACCTCTCCCACTGTTACTTCCTTCCTCTCTCCCCCTTATCTCAGCAAATGCCAACCTTGACTATAAGCAGGTTTTACCCCAGCAGAGTTTAAAAAAAAGAAAAGTCAGGGTTAGGAACTTGGGCTTTTGAGTCTCACGGGTCTGGGTTGACATCCCAGGGAAGCATGTTGACATGTCCACATGGAAGCACCAATGTCTTTGCTTTGTCACTGGTCTTGGTGCCAGGCCCCATAGGAAAATGTTGGTAGTGCCCACTTGCTGAGATTGTGGAAACTGGTATTTGCATGCGTTATTGATAGAGTAAGTTAATATGCCTCAGGAAAGCAATTTGGCAAAAACTGGCAAAAGATTAGATACATGTGCTCTTTGTTGCAACTCCATGTAGGGATTTGTATGAAGTTACTCCAGCCATTTTACAATAGCAAAAAGATACAACATAAAGGTTCATCATTAGGGTACTGGTTCAATAATGATGGCACATCTATACCATGAATGCAAAAGTGTATGGTTGTTTAAAAGAAAGAAGTCAATCAGTTATGTGCTGAAATGGAAAAATCTCCAAAAAGTGTTTGGTGAACAAAGCAAGGTGCTTCCTGGTATATATGATTCCATTTGTGTAAAATGTGATGGTATGACAGGCTTTTGGGGGAGAAAAGAGCCACTGTGCCTAGCCAGTATTATTATAATTCAAGTAACTATGCAGTAAACAAAATGATTTTTCACTAACGAAATTTAAACTATATATTAGGAGGCCAGGGGTGGTGACTCATGTCTGTAATCCCTGTACTTTTGTAGGCCAAGGCAGGAGGATTCTTTGAAGTTAGGAGTTTTAGACCAGCCTGTGCAGCATAGTGAGAGCCCAAAAGAAATTTAAAATTTGTTAGGTATAGTGGCATACGCCTGCAGTCCTAGCTACAATCAAGAGGAGTATTGCTTGAGCCCAGGAGTTCAAGGCTACAGTGAGCTGTGATCATGCCTCTGTACTCCATTCTGGGCAATAGAGTGAGACCCGTCTCTAAAAAAGAAAAAACAAACAAATTCATTATTCAAAGAATAAAATGTATTTACTATTTAAGGGGGAAATCCGAGTATTAAGATGTAGACCTAGGCCGTTGCAGTGTCTCATGCCTGTAATCCTAGCACTCTGGGAGGCCAAGGTGGGCAGATTGTTCAAGGTCAGGAGTTTGAAACCAGCCTGAGCAAGAGCTAGACCCCATCTCTATTATAAATAGAAACTAATTGGCCAACTAAAATATATAGAAAAAATTAGCCAGGCATGGTGGCACATGCCTGTAGTCCCAGCTACTCGGGAGGCTGAGGCAGAAGGATCGCTTAAGCCCAGGAGTCTGAGGTTGCTGTGAGCTAGGCTGATGCCACGGCACTCACTCTAGCTTGGGCAACAAAGCAAAACTCTGTCTCAAAAAAAAAAAAAAAGAAAGAAAAAGAAAAATAGATGTAGACCTTGAGGATATTGACAGATTTTTTTCTGGACCAAGTAAACTTTGGAACCATGACGCTCTAGTCAGTGTGGTTTGTCCACTAGGTGGCAGCTGTCTGCCACCATAACCGGCACAC